AGTAAGGGGCACCACCATAGGCGTAGCCAGAGAGGGGCAGGGCACAGCAACACAAAGGCTTTGGGTGAAAAGGCATTCGGCCAAATTTTCCATAATAAATTTTGTTCGCCCCCCCCCCCCCTAGCTCGAAACCTCGCTACGCCCTTGGGCACCACCGTACGGTTTGAACGGTTATAGCATTAACTCCATCATAAGTGGTGTGTTCTGATATACTACTGCACAGCCAGTAGTGACAGGTATATGGTACTTCAATGGCGGCCAGCAGATGACAGTACACACAAAAACATATTTTTAGTTTTTAAATAAATCGCTGAAATATTTCTCCAGTCTAAAAATCGTACAATAGAAAAACAACATCTTATAGTTAAAGCCTAGGATTTGTTCAAGGAAATTGGCAATTGTTTGTGTAGATGTGAATAAATTACCGTTTAAATCGTCTTAAATTCAAATATAGAAAATATATTTGGGAAAGTTTATGATCCTTTACTGGGCTGCATTTTTTAGTATTATTGATTGAAATATATGTTGAGTTATGAACTAGCTTCAGGCTAAAAATCACTCTAATAAAGTTAAAAATAGCGAATATTTTTTAATTCAATCATTAAGTACTTTATTACGTTGTTTTTCGTTGTTCATTCACTTTATTACGTCGTTTTTCGTTGTTCATAGACGAGACGCTGAACAAGTTAGCAAGTAGCAAACGAAATAACTAGGGGAATTTACGTATTCTCGGCAACCTAAGCAGCGACCTTCTTTCTATAGCCTTTTTCTCTATGGAACGCACACATATGCAGTATTGGTTTGTTTACAATCTTTTGATGCCAGCTGCTCTAACAATTTCAGTCGAAAGAATTGTCAAAAACTGTTTTGAAACGCTTTTACAAAGCTCCAATCTTCTCTAGTGAGAACGAGTATTGTCGGCAACCAGTTTTTCTTCGGCAACCGTTCCATTTGAACTGCATGTAAATCTGCTGTTCTATTATCGGCAACTCGAAATCAGCTACAATTTGTAGTGCGTGTGTTTCATTTCAAGAAAACCCTGCTAGATTGCTTTTTCTCAGTGGTAAAAATATAGTCAAATTGAAGCTGAAAGCATAAAGAATCGTTTGCATGCATTCAGCGAAGTGTTTTCGTAAGGAAATCCAGTGAAAATAGTGTTTCAATTTGGGTTGCCGAAAATAGTCTGTCATGCCGAAGCCGTCATTTCCCCTATCTGTTATAGTTTTTTTTAAGTTATAATGAAAGTTAATAGTGAAAGTGAATTGGTGAAAGTGATATAATAAAGGGTGATACGGTCAAAATTTGGTCAAGGGAAAACGCGTGTAAATCGGTGAAATCGTTTATTTAAAAAATCAAATTAAATTTCTTTTTCAAGTTCAATTAGTATAAAATTCAGGAAAAATATTCAGTTAGGCTTCCGCTTTTCCAAATCCGAATTGCCGGGCCTTACGCTTGACCCCTGCCATCAGATTTTGTACAGCCACCTTGTCCACCTTCTTCGCCGCAGAAAGCCAGTTTGCCTTGAACTGCTGCTCGCCCTTAGCAGTTTTTTTGGTCTTCTTTAGGTTCCGCTTGACAATAGCCCAGTATTTCTCAATTGGGCGGAGCTCTGGCGTGTTGGGAGGGTTCTTGTCCTTGGGAACCACCTGCACGTTGTTGGCGGCGTACCACTCCATGGCCTTTTTCCGTAATGGCAAGATGCCAAATCCGGCCAAAACAGTACGGAACAACCGTGTTTCTTCAGGAAAGGCAGCAGACGTTTATTCAAACACTCTTTCACGTAAATTTCTTGGTTGACAGTCCCGGAAGCTATGAAAATGCTGCTTTTCAAGCCACAGGTACAGATGGCTTGCCAAACCAGATATTTCTTTGCGAACTTTGACAGTTTCATGTGCTTGAAAACATCTGCTACCTTTCCCCTTCCTTTTGCCGTATAAAACTCCTGTCCCGGAAGCTGCTTGTAGTCGGCTTTGACGTAGGTTTCGTCGTCCATTACCACGCAGTCAAACTTCGTCAGCATCGTCGTGTACAGCCTCCGGGATCGTGCTTTGGCCGTCGTATTTTGTTTATCATCGCGATTTGGAGTCACTACCTTCTTGTAAGTCGATAGTCCGGCTCGTTTTTTGGCTCGATGCACGGTTGTAGACGATACACCCAGCTTATTTGCGGCATCTCGGAGAGAGAGGTTAGGATTTCGCTTGAAACTACCGGCAACTCTCTTTGTCGTCTCAGCGGCTTCCGGTTTTCGATTTCCCCCCGATCCAGACTTCCTGGCTGTCGACAAACGTTCCCCAAACACTTTAATTACATTTGTAACGGTTGATTTGGCAACTTTTAGCGATTTTGCCAACTTTGCGTGCGAGTAGCTCGGATTTTCGCGATGCGCGAGCAAAATTTTGATACGCTGCTCTTCTTGCTTGGACGGCATTTTGACAACTGAAGAGTGAATTCCAAAATCAAAATAGGAGCAACATTCTACACACACACACCTTCAAAATGAGGGGTGTTCAGGTTTTTTAAATGCAAAATTGAAAGAAATACGTGAAGTTGATATTGACCAAATTTTGACCGTATCACCCTTTAGTAGTAGAATTAAAAGGAAAAATATCGTAATAAGGTGTACAATTATTCTACTAAAACGGTCATCAATCAAATTAGACCAATTAATATGCTGGCCCCCATAATGAAAGCAGCCCTGGGCATCCCGGATCCTAATCCGGCACTGGTGACATGAAATTCATTAGGTATAGGAAAATGTGACGAAAGGAGGAAGTGGGTGAATTTTTCCTCAATTTACCGTGACATAATTTGCATGGCCCCAAACAGGAAAGAGAGTCCGCACAGTGTCCATTATCAATACGTTCCATAAGTGTGTACCTTTAAATAGCGCATGTAACCGGTTGTAGATTGTTCCGCGAGGTTAGGTGTCCACTGATGTGGCGGTGTTGTGGCATCATGTCGATGTCGCGTGGCGTGAGGTGAACGTCGTCAGGATGTTTCGTTATACTAGTAGATGCTATACTACCGCCACAACAGTGGGCACCTGGTCAAAGTCTAATAATATGCGGGCGTTTTGAGTTCAGGAGTGGAGTGACTTCATGTACTGGTAATGTCAAGACAATGGGTCCTTAGCAGTAATGGAATTTGGAGTAATGGGTCATTCGGAGTAATGTTATAGAGTCGCAAAATTTGTATGGAAATCAGAGAGGGTTGCATCAAATTTGTAAGACACTGCATTTCACACGTTAAAACTGACTTTTGAATAGTTATCCAGTGTGCATTTCACACGTTAAAACTGTCTTTTGAATAGTTATCCAGTGTTTTTTTTATGAATTGACAAATTATGTATCTTGAAAAAGTTATCTCTAACGGATTATTGTGTATGGATAGCTGTCATAATGACTTTTTAATAATTATTGTGGCACTGCAAAAACTATTTTTTTTCGCCACGATTATGATGATGGATTTTTAATATTTGATGTAATAGTAGTAGATTTAAAAAAAGGAGTCTACAAAGGTTTGAGCCGCGCGCGCGTATTACGGATATAGAGGACTGAATTTTTACATTTGATAAGAAAAAAAAAATGCAATGTGAAGATACCTTGAGTTAGTAGTCAGTTTTCTGGCAAATGTTAATGAAAATTATGATTTCATCAGATTGTGGAGTTGCTAGTGTGTGTAATCGCTTGTAATAATTATAAATATTTTAGGTAGACAAAAAGGCGATCTAATAGGTGGGTTCTTGTGCTTTTCCACATTTTTATCACTGTGAAGCAACTGTAAACTCTAGAGGGAGTTTATATCTGTAACTGTAACCAGTTCGATTCGAGGGGGACGACTCTATCTAAGATGCAGGAAAGATTGTGTTTTGCTGTGGCTAGCTGCGTGCACGCTGAGTAGATAGAAAGAAGATTGACGATGATTATGAAGATTTCCTGCAAAAAGATGATGCGCGATGCAAGTAGATGCGAGAAATGAAAGAAGATTTTTCGAAGATTGATTCGCTAGTTGGAGATTTGTTAAGCATCTAAACTTGAGATTTAGATGTGTCGCCCCCCTCGGTTCAATTTTGTTTTCTTACCTGTTTAAAATGTCATATTTAATTGTCTTAAAGATAAATCGTCCAGCTCAAACCTTTGTAGGGGTAACAGGTGGGACCATCATCATCATCATTTGTAAGACCACCATGCCACCACGAGATATAAACCATAGCCACCCTCAGTTTTTGGTAGATTTGTGCTTATATGCACACATACACTTGCAAGCAAGGTAGGTTCCACTCACTTCACTATAATACATGTTTTTCGAAATTATGAAATCATAAAGACGTTATAATGATATTTTGTACTTGTACGAAGAGGTTATCAAGTAAGTTTTTCTAAACTTTATTAGCGAGATTTTTAGCTAATTGAATAGTTCATCTCGTATTGTAAAGTATGTGTTTGACACATAAAACTGTCAATTTCGCGTTCAGTCATAATCATCACGATTACTATTCTTGAGCGTTCGCTCAGAGTGAGCGCTCACGAATCATAAAATCGCTGGTTGTGACTCTCTGAAAGCGAAATTGACAGAATTTGTGTGTCAAATTACAAAATAGCATTACAACATTTAATGCTTCCATAATTCCGAATAAAATTGATTAGCCAAGTGAGTGGAAGCAATGCAGAGTTTTATTTCGGAATTTTTACAAATATATATTTTTTCAGGTTGTTAGTTTTGCTTCGCACCGACCAAAAAATAAAATTTTCGTGATCCGAAGGTGTCATTGCTTCAAATTCACACGATATTCTATTTGCGACACCATCTGAAGACTCTTCAATGCAACGCTGCGAAGTGGTTTGGCTAGCTATGAATGAGCGATACCTACATACATTGCCATATTGCTTCACCAAGATTGCAGGAGGAAAATAGACACCACACGGCAAAAAGTGATACACTATGATAGCACCCACGGAAAATGGAAGAAAATCCAAAAAGCAGCTTATTGTTCTGTTTCTTCGAACTTTATTCACAACTAAAACAAAACATAAACTACCTGCTAGAGTGTATTTTGATGTGTGTACCCATGCTGGATTGAACACTACTGGAAAAGTTATCGATTTTTCTTGGTTTTCTTCTTTCTTTGGTCAACAAATTTCAACGGTTTCTGGCGCTGGCTGTTGCCCGTTGGTAACTATTTTCACTAAATACGCAATGACAATGACTAGATTTCACTTCCTACGTGATGGTTTTGCTTTATCGCTATTGTAGAACATGGCACAATTATTTGAAGGCACTGACTAAGGACCAATTTATCGCCAATTCACAGCTCTAGTTAAGTACTAGTTTTAACTAAAAACAACTTTAAAATAAATAAAACAATATCACTAAGTTCAATATTTATCCTCATCTAATTGGTCTAGACTATCCACGTTGATGTTTATGTTGATGGGTTTTTCTAAATCTAACAGCTCGGAGGGTGATTTGTCCGTCTTACCCGAATCGTGATCGGGATCATTCAGGTTGAAATTGTGGAGATCTAAACTAAGATGTGTCTTCTCTTCATGTTGGCAACTAATGCCTAAAGAATGTTGTGTTTGAGACTGTTGATTATGATGAGATTGATGAAGACTGGTCTGGTGATCGCTAGTTGCGAGTAAAGTATGATCGAGGCTAAATAGTGATTCACTTTTAAAGCTATCCATATTGAAGTGGTCGACGTTTAGGAACTTCATTTCGTCGTCGTAGACAGACGTGGATGAAGGTGGTGAAGAATTTACTAAACTGCTAATGTTCATGTACTGAAGGCCATTATTGACGGATGATGAAGAAGGCCCACTTGTTGAGGATAATATCGTAGATCCAAGAGGTGCGTTACATATTGTACCGCTCATATCGGTAATATTACACGGGTAGGAAGAAGTTTGTTTGCTTTGTGTGCTAGTGGTAGGAAAACTATTCCACTCAAAAGTCAGATTACCTCCTCGTCCATCGACTGGGTTGATGTGATCGAAATTAAGATTCAGAAACAGATTGGGGGATAATCTACCTGGCGACATTTGACCCAACGAAAGTTTTCCATCATTGTCGAAACCTTGCACTTGCGAGTTATTTTCTTGAAGGTTCAGACCCATGCTTGCAAGGTTCATATTCTGGGATACACCGTCATAGTTTATACCGGCCGCCATATCATCCGATGCGTTTCGCTGTGCACCTGAAGTACTCCCATTGTTATCGTTTGCTCTCGGATCACCCTCACCTTCATCTATGGTGCTACCTTTTTCATTTTTCCTCCATTTTGCGCGACGATTTTGAAACCACACTTGTACACGTGCTTCCGTAAGCTCGATTCTCAGTGCTAGCTCTTCTCGAAAAAATACATCTGGATAATGTGTCCTTTGAAAGGCCCGTTCTAGTTCCTGCAACTGTAGAGAGTTAAACGTGGTCCTGTGGGAGATAGATAGGATGCCAGATCAGTAGCCTGTAAGGTTATGTAAGAGACCGTTTTGAAATCAACCTGTATCTCCGCTGTTTTCGTTTCATGCTATATGCTGACACGATGGTCTGGAAGTGACTGACCATTGCGACTTGGAATGGAAAATGGAAAACGTGTACACGGAATAGGTACATAGGTGATATGTCACTTTTAGGGATTCTTCACCACACTATGTATCGCGGGTGGTGTTAATGCCTTATTGTCCGGCCGTTCTTTTACGCCGAGTGGCCTTTCGCATCGGTACGCTTTATATTATCTTTGCCTGAACTGCGATTTCCACCAGCTGTTGTTGTATGTAATAACCATCTTAGGCAGACTTATGAAATGGAGATGCGCGTAAAAGCTGAAAATATTCATAAAATGTTTGGATTACTCACAACGTGACCTACCTACTCCGAAAATTTCAGAAAACACTGAAATTTAAGCTTAAGATGCCCCTGGACATGTGTTTAACCCTTTCGTTCCGATGATTGCTCTAGAGCACTACAATATTGGATATTTTGTTTAATATCCATTTACGATGTCGGCGAATTGCTTATAAAAAAAATCCCAGGCATAAGAATATCTATTTATTATTATGTATTTATATAAAACCGATCCATACACACTTAGAATTAACTAATTTTATACGTAACGGAATCCATCTTCGACACAAAAGATGAGACGTAAACAAACATGTCATGTAATATTAAGTGCTCCGAAAATGAAAAGTTTGTTGCTCCGACGAAAAGTACGTTTGATTGAGCTATATTTCGCGTCTTTTATGACTCAAATTTATGTCAAAAATTGACGCTCGTATATGATACTTGCAGAGCACCTAAATTTACATGATTTTTTCCAAGAGTATAAGTAACCTATACTGCCCTGTGCGGCATAACAGTCCCATTATCTTTTTTTTTTTACTGAAAATCAGTTATATATTAGAATCAATTGTCAAGTACCATCACTTTACAATGTACTCGATAAGTCTCTTACTTTGATCTGAAAATGTCGCAAAAATACCAAAACTATGTTTTCCCATCCATAAAAGCCCAAATCTACAACATCGTTTTTCTTAGCTTGCTGTTTTAACGAATGGGACAACTATGCTGAAAAGGACAGTATATGGTTCTCATAGTATATAGGGGAAATGGCTCTAAATGGATCTAAGATTGGGCCCATCGCTAAAAATCTGCTATTTATCAATTTTATCTAGATGAACGCGTCATTGGGGCGGTACTATTGGATATTTTTGGTCGCTATTGAAAATTTAGTCGATTGCTGAATTTAGGCCGACATTACATCCATTTCCCGTACTACACAAAATGGCAATTGGTTCCTTGAAAAGAAAGATTGACTACATAATAGCAAGGCTGGTAGCGATCAATGCTGTCAAAAATAGTGATTTTAGTGACTATGTTGAAGAAATAAGTGACCAAATAGTGACTTATAGTTGTAAAAAAGTGACTAAAAAGTGACCTAAGGGAAGAAAATTAGTCGTTCGGATGGCATACCAAATAAATTTTTGATGTTTTAGATTCATTCAATTAGAATCTCATAAGCACTTAAATATGTACGATAGGAACCTTTAAAGCGAAAGATTCAATAGAAAGTCTCAGGGAATGTTATCATTACTCAGGAAATTTTATAATTTTCTACTAAAGATATTCCAAAGAAAATAACATTCCTAGTTATTTTAATTCACACATTCACAGTCCCTTTATGAAAAAATATCAAGTGCAATCTGCTTTCATGGTAGTTCTAAAGAATTTTAGATTTTATGTGAAGCCTGAGATAGTTTTGAATATAATTTCAAGAAAACCCGGAATTGAATTCAAAGCAAATTTTAATGAAAATTTATAGGAATTTCTCCTCCTCTGACCTTCAGAGGAAAACTCCAAGGTGCATTCTGAGGATAATTACATGAAATTTTTGAAAAACAACGAAATCGGAGCATAAGTAATCGTATTTTTTGTTTTTTGGTAAATACTTAGGTGGTGAAGGGGATGCTAAGAGTAGGATTATAACTAAATCTGAGAAAAACTCCAGAAGATCTTCAAAGAAATTTGGAAAATAATTCCAGGAGAGATTGCCAAACAAATTAATGGGAGAAATCTAAAGAATTTGTGAGGAGAAATGAAAATGATTTTTTAGGGGACTTCCAATGTGAGTAGAATTCCAAGTTAGATTAAAATGGAAATCTGAAATGAATTTGAAATGAAAAATCTGAGAATCTTTCCATAAGATTTCTTACTGATGAGAATTTCAAGGTAATTGCTAGGGAAATTAAAAAAAAAATAATTTGTAGGATAGTTTCAACGGCATTTTAAGGATTATTTCAATGGAATTGCGACAAGTATTCTAACTATATTCTTGTGATATTTTTTTTAGAGAATTCAGAGAAGCTTTCCAAGTGAATTTCTGAAATAATTCCATGAGAGTTTCGGATGAATTCGATCGTAAGATTAGGAGCACTTCAAGCAAATTTTCATGAGAAATCTCAGTTGCATATGTAATGAACTATTCTGAGGTCTTCAGAACAGCTTGAAAGTTCCCAATATATTCCTGAAGTCTGCCTTGAAGTTCTTTTGTAGTTTGAGAAACTAGCCTGATGCTCGCAATACTTCTCATTAATGTTTTCAACTTCTCTAAACTTTTTCAGACTTTCTATAGTTTCCACAATTTTCCTAACGATCATGAATCTTCTCTAAAGTTTTAACAATTCACTGAATTCCTCAAATCTTTTTTAAAATTTATGTTATTTCGCTGCTCTGAGTATATCTGTTCTTTCTTGAAGTTTTTTTTTGTAGAGCTTTATTAGCGAGATTAGAGTGTTTCAGTGTTATATGGAAAAAAGTCAAAGTCTGGAATTTCAAACGCTACCCTCTGGAATGGTAGTTTTGGGGGTCAGAAACACCCTGCCAAAATTTGAAGTCATTTGGTTCACGGGAACTCCTCGCTCAAACGGCTTGAAGTTTGTATGGGGAAAATCGACAAAATGTATGGGGGAGCGAGCCACTTTCACATTCGCGGCTCAAGGTGGCGCTGTAGTGGGTCGATTTTCTTCGTGTACAAAATGTAGCACCTTTGAAGTATTGGGAACATCTTGGCTGAAGACCGGATGTGAATCCGAGTTACCTCCGAAAAGTTATTAGCGTTTCAAACGAACACCACCTGCTTCACTTCTGGGGAGGGCCTAACGCGCTTGTGCAGTTTTTATTTTTACGGACAGGTATACGAATAGCAATGTTTGCATAGGTATAACTTTTTTGTTTAACCATGAAATTGGTTGAAATTTTCACAGTGAGTAGAAAAATGTTCGAAATTTTGGTCTACTAAAAATTGGAACAGATTGGCCAAGTGGTTCCGGTTTTATTCCGGGTTTCCGAGAGGCCATCGGGGGGAGAAAAGGTACCAGTCGTCTACAACAAGGTGATGCTGAAAATCCACAGCAACAGGCATCTATGGGTAGTGCTGATTAATATTTTAACAAAATCAACCCATAACCTGGTTCTAAATACTAAGCTTCCACCGGAAGGCCTTCCGATGACCTGGATCAACCTTAATCTGGATTATTATGTATTTTTGATCAAAGTAGGCCTTGATTATTCTCTGCAACTATATGAAATGTAGTAAATTAATGATTTTAGATATATAAGCGTTTCAATGGCTCCAAGTGGTCACCAGATGATCCGCCGGAAGATCCGAAACATCCGTAAAATTTAGTGCTACATAAATTCGATCAAAGTAGGCCTTGATTTTTGTCTGCAACAATGAGAAATGTTGTAAAATGGTGATTTTTGATATGTTAGCTGTTCAATGGCTCCGAGTTATCACCAGATGGTCCGCTGGTAGATACGGAACATCCGTAAAATTGATTGCTGTGTAAATTTGATCAAAGTAGGCCTTGATTTTCCTCCGCAATTATACGGAATACAGTAAAATGGTGATTTCTGAAATATTAGCTGGTCATTGGCTCCAAATCGTCACCAGATGACCCACCGAAAGATCTGGAACATCCGTAAAATTGGTTGCTAAGTAAATTTCATCAAAGTATGCCTTGATTTTTCATTGCAACTGTATATAATGTAGTAAAATTATGATTTTTTATATATTAGCTGTTCACTGGCTCCAAGTGGCTCGCCGAACGATCCGGAACATCCGTAAAATGTATTGCTGCGTAAATTTGTTTAAAGTAGTTGCTCTGCAACTACGTGAAATGTAGTAAAATGGTGATTTTTGTTATATTAGCGGTTCAATTGTTCCGAGTGGTCACGACATAACCCGCTGGAAGATCCGGAAAATCTGATAAATTTATTGCTGTGTAAATTTGATCAAAGTAGGCCTTGATTTTACTCTGCAACTATGTGGAGTGTAGTAAAATGGTGATTTTAGATACATTAGTTGTTCAATGGCTTCTTCAATAGATGGTTTTGAATAGAAAAATGCCTTGGCAACAAGTCCTTCTTAAGTACCATTAAGTTTTGATGAGTTTATTTTATACCTGCATTATAAAAAATATTGGTATTAGTATTATATAAAGAGCAATAGGCTGAAGTGTTTTTGCAAAACAAAGACCATTCCACGCAAATAAGGAAAAATTATCCAAGTATTTTGTTGTTAAATGATGTTTAAATTTTGTTTGTTAAATTTTAAACAAAATATGCAAAGGACGGGTATACACTACTGCTGAAAAAACTCGACGTCCGGAGAGCTTTCAGATTTAGGCGTTGTTGCTTTTGCGGGCAGACGAGTTGGTCGCCGGTAAGGGCCAGTAAGTGCTGCCAGCAGATGAATCAAGAGGTATTCGAAACAAAATTGGTAAGAAATGTCCATTCAAATCGTTTTATTACAGTTAAACAAATTTCAAAACTATATACGTGCCAGATTTGGAAATAATATTTTTTTAATCTGGAAGTGTGTTTATGATACCATTATCCATTTGATAAAGGTAGAGTGAACATGCGGGGCTTATTGTATTTAAAGTGACCTCGGAGTGGTCGTGAATTACCAGGCATTCTGAAATGGGTCACTGGAGCTGCAATAGAGCTAACACCTTCTAACTCCCGGACTAAACCTGCTTTAATTGAAGGGTAATAAAAAGCAGTTTTCTTCCATAATAACACTGCCGGACAGTGGGGGTTAGATTGTACACACACACACACACACACACATAAAGGTGAATGCAGTCAGCAAAATAGCTCTTATAACACTATTCGGCCATGTTTCAATTGCATGCTTTGTAAATGCGATATAAACGACGTATTAGATTCATTATTCCACAACACTGGTTCAATCTAACAACAAGACGAAATCAGTAGAGTAGTGGTTACCGTCGAAGGTCGAGAGTTCAATCCCAAGCTCAATCCTTTTTTTATTTGTGTTCTAAATCGTAATCATCGATCAGATCACTCACGACAACAAATTTATTGATTTAGTTAGATAATCCAGCATCCTTTCCTTGGAAATTGAAGAGATGAAGAGGTAGAATTGGTCTCATGTAAAACAACGATGAATGAATTAATGATTCACATTGGACCTTGGGACGATCGGGAGCAGGCATGGAAAATCATTTGCATTCATTTACATTCATTTACCCCTAACTTTTTTCATCAACAGAATTCCGCAGCTTTTGTAGGTTTTGTTATTAGCTAAAACTTTTGTTAACAACTCAAATCCTTATATCTTATGTATGACGAACCAGAGTGAACAGAATCCACTAACTATTTATCTTCGTCCCACTTACGTAGATATGTTGCAGCATCTTCATGTTAAATGCCAGGAAAATCTTTCGGAAGTGGATCTCATCATTTTTTTTTTGACTCAGTCCCGTTCAATACAGAAACCTATAACCATTCACAAGCGCTTTTCCACACTAAAATGATCGTTCAAGAACTCCCTAACTTCACCATCTTTTCTTACAAAGGATTTACTAGGCTCTTCTCACTATCGGATTGCTTTATTTTTGAATAATAGAACTTATGGAAGTATCGATCGGCCATTAAAATATGTTTCATGTCTTATATCACTCATACGAGAAATAGCTCTCCTATATAGGCCGCATCCTTATTGCGATCTCATGTTTTCTGGTCATAAAAAACGGTCATCCAGTAGCTGAATGAACGGTGTTATTAAATACATGCTCGATGTCGGTGACTTTTAAATCCCAGCATTTTTGATCCTTCCTACGTTCGAATAGCGGCGTTAATCGATCGGTTTAGTCTCTCTACCGGATTTCCTTGACTGTGATGACGAGAAGTAGTCCAGTGTTTAACATCATGTTGAAACAACAACGTCTTGAACTCTTTAGAGTGGAAGGTGCTTGCGTTATCGGTCAACACAACTTCTGGGATTAGATCGAGTTTTCAGTATTGATTATGTTTAACTGAAACAGTCATCAACCGAAACTCCAAAATTACTGATCACACCAGTAAATTGTAATCCTTTACTTCATCCTCCTCCGTTCAACCAAAGATATTTAATTAACAAGATATCCCACTAATCAATTCCTCGAACAAGGCTATGGATACACCACCCTTATGTGATCGCAGAGCCATCTAGTGAGTGCACATTTAAACTGCCGACTTCACCATTAGGGCTCAATAAATGGCAGGTGTCAGTATGACATATGCCAGCGCAGACGTTGATGATCAGCCGAGGGAAGAGGATGATCGATGTCATCATCATTATATTGCGATAGTAAGATCCTCACTTCGTTATGTTTGCATAGATTTTCAATCATTACTACGTTATACGCATCAGAAACGCTTGAAAAAACAATCACAAATCCAAGCTCACATCATGATGGGCTTGTAATATGTTTTGCTTTCTAGTGAACGAGTTTCCAATATCACCACCGGTACCAGTAAGATGCAAATGCAGATACGTCCCTTCGAAAAAGTAATCGAGAACTTATGATTTATGAAGCAGTAGCTCAACATAATCTTTATAAGCATAGAAGTATACATGGAAAAAACGCAACGTATCGAAATCATTGCTAAACAAACGTAATAAAATATGTTGTCTTCCTTGACCAACGCTGCATACTATTAGATATTACTATTATAAAAATAACGATGTAATATTGATTACTTTTCTATTTTATAACGAAGATATTTTTCAATGACGGTGAATGAAATCGCAAACTGAAGCTGCCAAAGCTGAGTGATGACACCGCTTCGTGTTTTGATTTGCGCTGTATCCTCCGCTCAGTGGTGTGGGTTCGTACATGTATGATGGTGTGCGTGTTTTCTTCCAACGCCTCTATAAATTACAAATTTACAAAAATAAAATGTTGAGTTAAGTTTGTCGATTTTTCAGGAGTTTCTCAAAGTAAAAAATTCATTCGATTTCGAAAATAAACATCATATATTTACATTGTCTTATAAATTCATTACTAAAACTACAAAGATAAACCTACATTTTAAACCCATCGATTCTAGGCATAACTAATTTAGTTTCATTTTTGGTATAGAAAAACATACAATCTGGAACAGGTGTATAAAAAAATCACAAATTATAGTGATGATAAGTTTTGTTTGTGTGTAAGGGAGTGACTGAGATGAATGTGGTTGTTCCTAACCGCTATGTTTAGATTTTTCAGGCGTCAGCGGTAAACTAGCAATTTTCTCAGGTGTTGGAGTGCCCTGCAGCTTTTTGAACGCAACTGGAATCTCCAACTCATCGGAATCCATTTCATTTTCCGACAGGGACAGTGATCCAGCGGCTCGCATAATTCTCAGCGAAGCACTTTTCTTCATCGGAATCGTCGATGGCTCTGATGCGTAACCATCGTAATAATCGTCTTCGCTGGAGGAATATCCACGCTCGGGGTAGGTTTCTGGTAATTTGCAGACTATTTGTGCTAAATCGATGAATGTGTATCTGGAACAAACAAATTATGATTAGAGGCGAGCGTTTGTAATTACTTGTCAGAACAAATTACTCATTGAGCGAATGTGTCACTTTTTGTGGAACATCCCTGACGCTCCATTGGTTGAAACGAGATAATCGTCCACACTTGGCCATGTTTTCGAAAAACGACTTCCCGTGTTCGAATCCTACGTTTTTGATTTCATCGAAGCTTCCGAAAGCCAGAGTTTTGTATTGGTCGATCGGCGGTCGAATGTATTCACAGTAGTCACTTTTTTTAACCTCCTACAAAATGAAAATAAGTGACATTGCAATTCAAAATATTTGTAATTACCCAGTAAATTACCTCTAATTGTCGCACACAAGAAACGTATGCTAACCGAGATTGAATATCAGGCAGATTGGGTACTTTAACGGGTGACGTGAAAGGATTCCAGCGCTTGTATAAAAGCCACCAACCGGACAGGTCATCGCCGTAATCAGTCAAGTCCGTATCGTCCTGGGATCCGACGTCAACAGCAATTATATGAGCAGCACCTTGGGCACGCATAACGTCCGCTGATTTAATGCAAGAGAAATATAGTTATACATTTTCAATGCTTAGTGTTATTAACAAAGAAAAACAATTTCCTACTACCAGTATGTTCTTAAGGCAGTCAAATTTGGGTTAGATTGATACGACAGTTAATTAGGTAGGTATATGACAGATGAGAACTTTTTTTTTATTCATTGTCAGATCTAAACTATTTGGAGTAGATTGAGTGAAAGTAATTTAAGGTTTTTTATAATGTCTATTGTGTACAAATTGTTTACAATCAAAGTGTAAAAATCTTTGAATTTTATTGAATTGCGCATAGGAAAATGTTGTGATATTTATCTTTTTAGTTGTGACTACTGTTCCTCGTAAGATACTACCTATAATTGCATATCAGTCCTATATGGAAAAGCTTGATCTCGCGAAATTAGTAGTTGAAGCTATTGAGTACATTTCAGATGTTAACATATGAATAGTCCGAGGAAATTAATAAATGATTTTATTTTTGGTAAAATCAATGTATAAACGTAGACTGTCAGTTTCTAATCTCATCTCACCCCTACTGACAGCATGACACCACATTCAAGCTAAAACCTTTAGAAAAATATGTATGAAGATTCAGAAGCGAACAGAAAAAGGTCCTTCATCACAGTATAAATCTGCATCAGCATCAATATCAATATCGCGAACTTTTTCAACCCTGGTTGGGACATAACTTTTATTAGATTTTTTAAAGTGACATCCAATGATCTAAGAATTTTACCAATCGAAATTATGTGTAATTTTGGTTCAGTGTAGAAAAGCGACAATAGAGGGAGTGCAGCAATAGTGGAGGTACGTTACCCGAGCTAGAGTCGGTGTATAATGAGTCACGCCAAGAGTGAAGCCAAGTCTACCTATTGAACTGTCAAACCGGCTACCTATCGTGCAAAAAAAATAAACATTACGATGCTATGAAAGGTCCACGAAAGGTATTGCAATAAAATATAAAATATAATCGAAGAAATGAGCATAAACACGCAGTGAGCGTAAAATTGTCATGGGATACGCTCGGTAATGATTAGTAATAAGAATTTCTACTATTTTTTGTTAAGATAATTTGACAAAATCACTGATATAATGATTTACTACAGCCGCAATATTTTTTCTCTCACTAGAAGTCATTTGAAGTTGTTGTAGAAGTCCTCTGTTGCCAAGTGAAAAGAATGGGAATCTTCCGAAAACCATGATGCGAGTTCAACTGTTTTTCTCTTGGCGTGACTCATTATACACCGACTCTAACCCGAGCAAAGTCGGTTAACAAAATGAATGCAAATCGATATTAAAGTTTGCAGTTCCTATCATAATGAATACTCATTTTGATTAAAATTGTCACGACATTAGTCTGATATCATATTGTGCTTTCATTATGCAGTCAAGACATTTTAAATGAAAGCAACTTAACTTGAAGTTCTGCTGTTAACGTCTTGTTTAAAATTTAATTTAAGCTCATCTGTCGTTGAACTAACGATTATTGTTTATTTGTTTTGTTTAACACATTTTAGGTCATTCGTAGCCAGCCCGAGGTGACATTTGAGCTCAAGTCTTTCAGCGTGAGAAGCTTGGATGCTAACCATTTACGCCAGGCCCGTATTCAGTCAAACATCATGAATGCAAAATCAGTAATCAAATTGATTTCATTGAAAGCAGGATTAGTTTTCCGTTTGATTCAACAGTGTAAAATTTTGCTCTCATTTTTGATGTGTTAACCGTTAAGTCAACCAAAATGAGATCAAATAGAGTATTCAAAATAACTTACATCATAACAGCAAATTCTGATTTCAATTTGATCTCTAACTTTGCTCGGGCAAAGTCGGTTAACAAAATTAAAGCAAATCGATATTAAACTTTGCAGTTCCTATCATAATGAAAACTCATTTTGATTTAAATTGTCGCGACAGAAGTCTGATATCATAGTGTGCTTTCATTATGCAGTCAAGACTTTTTTAATGAAAGCAACTTAACTTGAAGTTCTGCTGTAAACGTCTTGCTTAAAATTTAAATTAAGTTCATCTGTTTATTTGTTTTGTTTAACACATTTTAGGTCATTCGTGACTTGCCCGGGGTGAGATTTGAGCTCAAGTCTTCCAGCGGGAGAAGCATGGATGCTAACCATTTACGCCAGGCTCATATTCAGTTATACATTATTAATGCAAAATCAGTAATCAAATTGATTTAATTGAAAGCAGGATTAGTTTTCCGTTTGATTCGACAGTGTAAAATGTTGCTCTCATTTTTGCTGTGTTAACCGTTAAGTCAATCAAAATGATATCAACTGGAGTATTCAAAATAAGTTACATCATAACAGCAAATTTAGATTTCAATTTAATCTCCAGTTTTGCTCGGGTATGGAGTCTTTTCAGGTTGAAAATTTTTTCATCTTCCCTGGGCACAGATTACTTGCTCTCAACTAACAACTGGGGATTTTTTCAATTACCAAATAGGTTTGGGCCGAAGGGTCTTCGATCTCTATGAAACTTCACCCATAGGTAGAGTTCATGGATATATCAACAAAAGTAAATTAAAAAAAATCACGGTTGCCAATTTTTCCGGAAAACCTTAGTTAAAGTTTTCCGATTTTCTCGAACACCACTAACTTAAAAAAAATCATAACTTTTGAACCAAGCAATTTTAAAAAGGTTTTATTGCAACAACAACAATTTCCTATAGTTTTATGACGGTCATATGCATTGTCATAAAAAGTAATGCCGCTGCTGATACACTTGTATGACGCACTTGAGACCTTTTTTTTTCATTTTGTACGTTAAAGATATCGCTCTTATTTAGAAAAATCTCACAGTGCTTATTTATGCTGATGACATTAAACTATTTTTAGAGATGATAAGAAATGATGATGCTATGAATACATTTCAGAAGGAAGTTTATGTTTTTATACGTGGTGTGGTAAAAGTTTGTTCGAACTTAATGTTAAAAAAATGTAATCTTATAACGTATAGTAGAAAGCTAATCAAACCAGATACTCTTATTTCATTAGGTAATCGAATTGTTCAAAGATGTGATAAAACAAGGAGTTATTCTAGATTCTAAGCTAACATTTGTGTATCATTATAACATAATAATGCAGGCAATATGCTTAATTTTATAAAGCGTTTTGGTTTCCATTTTAAAGGTCCTTACACAATGAAAACAATTTATGTTGCCTATGTGAGGCCAATATTAGAATACTGCAGTGTTGTTTGGTCACCTTATATGAAAAGGCATGAAGAACGAATAAAGTCAATCCAAAAGCAGTTTTCATTTTATAGGATCTAATTTTCGTCCTACTAAGCACAACCTGCGCTTTACCTCTCTTTTTTGAACGGGTTTGAACAAAAAATAGAATATTTCTATCAAATATGACTTCTAAATTTATTCACCTTTTCATACGTACCGTTGGATTTGATAAAGAGCCACAAATTGATGAGATATTGTTCAAAATCTAATACTGCTTCTTGATTCTAAATTCGTCCTAACGCATTGAAACGCCATTAGATTTTCTTCGTCCTTTCGGATAAATGTAGAAAAAGCGAGTTCGCTAGGAGCGCTTCTATTGTTTTGAGGACAATGAGCGCAAATATTCATACAATGCGCTCTAACAGGATTTATGTTGTAGCTAATGAACTAACGCATCGGAACAAACCTATTAATGATTTGTGCAGGGTGAAATCATTGATTTTTTTTTCCCTTTGGTTTGTTTTCCGTCGATCTTATTTTCCGTGCTGAGCACCAATGCTGCCGACGCCAAGGAGGCAGCTCCCACACCTGGACCCTACCTATCGACCCATCAACTCATGAACCGGGGACCAACGGGTTTACTTCCCTTCCGAAGGAAGGCGTGATCAGAGATGTTATGCCTCAGAACATCCCGGCGGCGCCGACTGGGATTGAACCCAGGCCTGCTGGGGTGAGAGGCAATCACGCTTACCACTACACCACCGGCGCCGCTGAAATCATTGATATTATTGATCTTTTCTGAAAGATAGAACGGAAATGAGCGATTACGACGAAGTAGCGCTTTACCCTACACTATGTAAATTAGGATGGACAGCAGACAGCATTTCCTCTACCATCGTATAAAGCACGTTGCTTGTTTATCGACATTCAGGCATTTAAAGAGCGTCGGGATTATGCTATGGTCTCTTCCATGAACAAAATTGCTGAGTCCATACTCAGCTTATTTATTATCAAGACTTAGTTGTTATGCAGGGTAGAGCTATCAAGTAGAAAACATCAATTAAATCCATAATTTCGGCGTTAACAGGTAAATTATGCGTTTGGTACGATACTTTAGTTCAAATGCTACCGAACGAAGTCAATAAGAACGCGTGATATGAATGTTTGCACCCAATATTCTCAAATACAAATGAAGCGCTCCGACCAAATCAATCTTCATCTTCACCCGATAGGCCGAAGTGAATTGATTGGCGTTTCAATGCGTTAGGCCGAGTTTACAATCTGTACGCCGAGTTTGGCGTCAAGAAGCAGTGTTAGACTTTTGACAATATCTCAACGATTTGTTTCTCTTTATCAAATCTTACGGTACGTAAGGAAAGGTAAATTAATTTGGAGGCCAGCAGTAATAATAGCATTTCTTTTGGTGCTAAACTACGCTAGATTAAGAAAGACTAAGTGCGGGTTGTGCCTAATAAGCCGGAAATGGGGTAGTTAACCCTACCTTCTCGTCAATTGCGTAATCGACATTTGTTCGCGGTAGATCGCCACCGCACTAACTACGCAAAATATGGAACGATAAGTTAGATGATGGCTATTTATTATCTACACTGTGAAATGATAGACTTAAATATCCCTCCGCTAAAATTGAAAAATATATTTTCAAACATTACGAAATCATAGATTATAAGTTATAATGTTATTATGTAGTCTACTATTTTGATTGACGAATAAATAAATATACAAAAATTATACAAGTGTTGGCATAGATGAGCATTAGTTTTATTATACAAATAATGCTCTAGCTCATACAAGTGTATCCCTAGCATAAGTCATATGCTAGTAGTAACGGGTGTTCAATAAAAAATGAGAATGATTTCAGTGCCGTCCAGCGCTCTTGTGAGAGCATTGTGACTAAGTTGCGTCGTACGACTGACCAAAGCCCCTTCTCCAATATTCATTGTCGTTTTTTTTTTTTTGAAGAATAAACATTATGTTTTTAATTTTTTTTTAATAAATACTGAATTCGTTGAAATTTTTAATTTTTTTTTTGTTACTAGCTAGGGTAAATTATGGCTTCGGCACCCATTGACTGTTTTCGGCAACCGAAATTGAAACGTTTATTTTACTGTATTTTCCCATCAAAACTCTTCGCTGAATGTATTAAGCCGATTCCTTACCTTTTCAACTTAAATCTGATTACATTTTTACGGCTGTGAATTCCTGTTATACCATATTTTTCTTTAAATGAAATATACATACTACAAAATACGGCTGATTTCGAGTTGCCGATAATAGAACAGCTGGTTAACACGCAGTTCAAATGGAAAGGGTGCCGAAGAAAAAGAGACTGCCGACAATAGTCACTCTCACCTGAGAAGTTTGGAGCGTTGTAAAAACATGTTCAACCCGTTTTGATCAATTCTGTCGATTGGAATTGGTAGAACAGCAAGCAGCAGATAAATGTCAACAAACAAATCTGTCATGTATGTGTGTGACGCTGAGAAATCGCTAATAGAAGTGCGGACGCTGCTTAGATTGACGAGAATACGTAAATTCCCCTATATGACTGAAAAAATTTTCATTTTTTATTGAACACCCGTTATAAGCTATCTATACAACCCTAATAAATCAATAGATGCTAATGCTATTTTGATTTATGAAAGCTTTTATGATTGCCAATTTGAATTGCAGTCGCATTAAAACTAGTTGACTAAACTAGTTCATCCTTTAAAATGTAAAAGTAGTTATTATGCTATAAGCATATGCATTAGAATTAAAAAAAGCTGCTATTTTAGATCTTTTATACCACCATCAAACAAAATCGAATTCACGACAATCTTAACATCAACACTAGAACTTTTTTTTTTATCACGGGTGTAGATTTCCAAATAAAAAAACAGGTTGGGCTCACTGCTGTTATACACACTTAAAAATAACTTATTTTACACGAGACGTAATCCATCTTTGACGTAAATTATGGAACGTAAACAAACATGTCATGTAAAATTAAGTGTTCCCAAACCGAAACATACGCAACTGGACGAAAAGTACGATTGATTGAATTTATTTTCTCGTTTCTTTCAACTGATTCTTATGTCATTTGGGCCGCTTGCATGTGTCGGTCTCAGGGCACGGAAATTTACATGACTTTTTGGTAGTGTGTAGTTTTCGTAGAACAGCAAGCTTATTTAAGGCGGTTAATAAAAAATCAAATTGGATTTATAGCTGATTTTCAGCAGAGCGTAAAACAACTGCATGAATTTAATTTTACTCTTAAAGAGGTTATGAGACCCTCTTGTCATTGAGTATGGAGATTGTATCCGCAGTGTTTTAAAACAGCTTTATTTTTATTTTCAAGCATGGTCCACTTAGCTGGAAGACTATTGTCATGAGCTCAAGGTTGCTCCACTCTGTTGGTCCTCTACTGCTGATGCTGTCTCCTCTGCTGGTGGTCCGCTCTCTGCAAAGGTCTAAATTCTCTTAAATACTGTCTACTTAGTTTACAAACAGCCTCTTATTATTATACCCAACTTTTTACCATGATGATTTAACATAAATATAGTTTTGTCGTAAAACATTTCAATATTTTTTTTTATGAAAATCTAAACGTAATTTTTTTGGTGGCACAGTAAACTTCTCGCAGTTTGAATTTTAGGCAAACCAGCCAACTTTTAAATGTTGACATTTGAGTTGACATTTTGAGACAGAACTACTATGTCAATAATTGCATATCAGTCCCTCGTGGAAACAGTTACAGCTGAAGTTACAAAGTGCAATTTCCATGTAAACATTGGAAAAATCATAGTAAATTATTGATGATGTTTTCATGTTGTAATCTGTTGCAATGAAGCTTGTATGTTTTGCTATAGCAGCGAAAAGTATGGCAATTCAATAAGCAGAACTGAAACTTGAACACCGGACGATGGAATTTTAGGATGGAACTGATATGCGATTACTTTGCTATATGCACACTAAAAAAATCTGAATTTTACTGGTGATGTAAACATCCATGCAAGCAAACATTCATGCATGTAAACTTCCTTTCCACGTAAACTAGCAGCTTGCAAGAAATGTTGCAAACAAAGGTGGAAAGTTGCATACAATATATGGAATATTGCATGACATGTCTCATAAATTTACACGATTTATAATGTAAATTTGTATGATTTATGACGCTCCATTTATGTGCATCATAGTAACGGAAATTTACACTACTTTTTTTTAGCTGTGTGGGACAAACTGGCTTGATGCTGTTTTCACATTTTTAATGATCAAAGTTCATCGTTTTATCACATAATATGAAAGTATATATGCCAATCGATAGTGGATAGCATTGTTATCTCAAAATTGACAAAATTCCATATGGGACTAATATGCGATAATAGACAGTACAGTGCTTTCTCGATTTTGTCTACCCCCTTTTCATTTTTTGCTATACTTGTCTACCAAGATCCATGCACTTTTTCCGTGGTTTTATTACACTTAAGTATGCCTTGATGATAAATGCGACATATGTGGCATGAAGGTTATGTGAAACTAGCGGAAGAAAAAAGTCTAATGGGAGGAGAGGCTGATAAAACGGGAAAGCACTGTAGAAATATCTTGGATTTTGCGTGTACGAAGTATACACTCATATTTTCGTTTACGTTCGAAACGTATCTTTTTATATGCACACATTTTATCTAATAGGGAAAATACTTTCAAACGTAAACGAGAATATGGGTAGTGACATAATTTTGAATAAACCTATCGAAAATAATCAATCGAACCCAAATTTTAGCGCATTTGTTAGCTATTCATAACAGTCAAAAACATTATAAATAAACAAACTTATGTGAAATTAAATGATAGCTCGTCGAATGGTCGAAATGTAAAAAAAAATACATAGAGTAAAGAAAAGCACAAGATTTACCTGGAACGTTATTAGTGTAACAACCATCTAACAGTAGATGACCATCTCTTAAATCACAGATAGGAGGGAATATTCCTGCTACGGACATACTAGCACGTACATTACGCCACAGTGTCCCTAATTGGTGTTGATTCAAATAACAGTTTAGCAATAACAATTTAAACAAACTACGCAAAGGTTAAACAAAATCAATAATCAATAATCAAGAAACGAGAAATCACTGCCAACGCGTAGTTGAAGCTAATGCAATTTTGAAAAATGGCCAATTGGTCACTGGCAGTGATCGGTTGAATTTAGTTGTAAAGGCCAATAGTAAACGTATTGACAATAGACAACTGAAATGAAAACTGAAAACTTAAGAATCCAGATCCTACAAAATAGTTCTGAGCATTATTCATTCCGGATGGCCATTGTCTTTGGCAAACCACTCTCTCTTTTTCTTTTTCCAGTTCATTCAATGTTTTGTTCTGGAGCATTTCGAAGAAAACAAAAATACATGTAAACCATAACAAATGCATCAAGATGTCGAAAACAGCTACTGAAAACAGGGAGGTTGCCTATGATTGCTCTAGTGTGTATGTGTGTTTGGTGTACCACTGAGAGGGAAACGATTTTTACAAAAAAAAAAGAAAGCTGGACAGCAACAGAACAAGCGTGATTATTGGGATACAGAGGTGAACTTATGGTGTGAAATCTCTAAAGCTAAGATTGCTGAAACGACTTAAGTTAATTATGTTTCACCAGAATTGTAACGACACGTAAAATTTGCAATGCCTGTTTTTTCACAGTATAGACCAGATTATTTACATTTACATTATTACATGATAGACACGGTTAAGCGGTGTCCGAACTGGCGGCTTAACCAACTTTCATGTACATCGGGGTTTTCTTCATTAAATGCTAGTTGGGTCATCACATTCCTAAATCGGTTAGTTTTAAATATTCTATAGACGAAAATTTGTATAATTCAATTTTATCATAATAGGATACGGTTCTGAAAAGCCAAAACCTCTTTTAAGTTGCACCAAAAATGTCTATTAGGCCCAAATTTGTATGGGAAGATTTTTTATCAACTTTTTGAACGGAGCACTAACTCCCCTCCCCCTCCTTGAATTATGCCTTTAGGTAAGAAAACCACTTTCTGAAAGCAGCACCATATATTAGCGAAGTGGTTTACACACATTTCTACAACATTAATTGTCAAAAGTTGTGGTTTAGAGACGATGCTCGTCTTAGACCACTTTTCCCTAATGTTTGAGACATTATAAACTTTGAATTAAAAGCGCCAGCTCATATAAACTTTGAATTAAAAGCGCCAGCTCGTGTTACAACTAAATGAGCTGAAACTTTCAGAGAGGGGTTTTCTTAATTAATTGCTCGATTCTTGGGGGTGCCGCGTAAAAAAGTTCTTTTTTTGGCTATTCTAATTTACATGAATCGATTAATCCGCCGTTTCGGACATGGCGTGCGTTTCCTAAATAAAAGGTATCTCGAAGACTATTATATACACTAATAAAATTTAAAAAATGTGTGGAATTGTATTAGTGTAGTGATAGATTATGACAAGTATTTGGATATTTAGTATCAAAAATGTCCCTTGGTTAATGGGAAAGTTTCGTCAAGATTAGAGGGTTGATTGGCGAGTCAAGTTATCCACCGTGGAGAATAGAAGAACTAAGAAAGCAATTATGATTTTAAAAATTTCCACGGGGAGGTATACAAGTGCAATCTTAAAATCCATTTAATTATTTAAAAAAAAATCTGGATATTGCTACGTTAGTAGAAAACTCGATAGACATATAAGGTAGGTGTTTTAGTAATAGTGGTGTACCTATAATTGCGGTACGGGAGTTGTGGCTGAATAATGAGGAAAACCGGATACGATAATTTTTCATCGGTAGCTCTCCTAAAATAAAGCAGATCTGCATATTTCAAACTTAAAATTAGCCCAAAAATAACGGAAACCAATTGATTTTCCTTAAGATTTTGACTCCTTTGCACCTATAGTTTCGATAGTGTTCCTATAATAGTGGAATCCATAAGAAACCAATGTGTTCCACTATTATAGGAACCAAAGTTAGCAACTACCACGACTACTGGAACAGTGTTCCTATTAATGGAGGACGAGTTTTCGAAAAAGGTATACAAGCTAATCGCAATTTTACATTTTTATAGAAAAATAGAGATTAAAAGCTATAGATTGGCGTTTAAAAATTATATGCAAATCGTTTTTTTGACGTAGAACTACATCTTTGTCGACTATACTGGGGTGCAAATCAAAAAATATGTGCGGTGAAGGAGTGTTAGGTTTTGAACGCTTGTAACTTTGTCATTTATAGATGAAATTAAAATCCAAATACGCCAATCGATAGGATATTACATTACAAACCTGCTAAAATAAATATTTTTCCAATTTTTCTGTAATTAATCTTTTGAAAATGTATCAGTCATTATAAACGAATACCACTTGGTTGCACATCATTCTGCTTGAACATGAAAAGATATAAATCAGCGCTGCACTCAGCAGCCAAAGGTGGATCACGGCGTGTCCACCACAATGAGGCATGAGACTTGAAAAAACGTGCATGTAAAACCCCCTCCCCCTTAACATAACCCGAAAAAGACATGGACTTAGACGATCATTTTTTTTCGGGAAATAAATTTTAAGCAAACCACAATTATGTATAAACAATTAATTTTTTACATGCAGAGCCAATATTTTCAAAGAAAAAATTGCTTAACAGGAGACATACACTCGATGAATTACCAACAACTGACTGTAAAACATATCTGGTACCTCTATACATGAAATTATATTAACATCCAAAGTCCATCCTTTTTTTCCATATTCTGCACAAAAGAAACATTCTGCCCCGCCCCCATTCATAATAAAATGACGTGAAATCCGGTCAGTTGCGGGGCTTAGAAAGTATGTTTTGTGCAGAATATGTAGAAAAGGAGGGACTTCGGATGTATTTTTTCTGCAAAATATGTAAAAAAGGAGGGACGTCGGATGTTAACCTAAATGCATATATCATGCATCATAGATAGAGATAGATAGATAGGTTCTACGTCATAGTGCGGTCGTGTCTAGGACACAACCCTTTAATTTTTTTTTCCACCACTGGCTCACCCAGCCTAATATAATATATATATATATATATAAATATAGGGTAAACGCTCCTATAGTTGCGGTACGTTAAAAGCGTTAGGTTCCTATAGTTGTGTATTGAGTCTCCATGCACAACTATAGGAACCTAACGCTTCTAACGTACCGCAACTATAGGAGCGATTCCCCTATATATATTCTTATTCGATTTTGTATTTGTAGATTTCAAGTTTTCTACCACCGTAGTAGAAACCAGACTGAAAAAAATACTTTATTCGCAAAATAAAAGCATTTTAAGAGTTCACTCCTATAGTTCTTCCTATCACTTTCATATTTCTTCTTGCCCACGGGGGCTAACTTTGATTCGTTAATTTTAATATGATGTATTATCGTAAATTTGAATAAAAATATAAATATCAATTTCAAGCCCGCTTGAAAACACGCAGGCCCGGATTTATAAAGGACAGGGGGTCACGGCCCAGGGCCCCCACAAATTGTAATATAAAAACTGAGTACCATGTTTCATTTCCATAACGTCGACTTGATTTCAAATAATCAGCATCTTATTTTCTGATTTGTAGGTAATTAGGATAAGCATCCACAGTTACCGTGTAACCGGACTCATAACGAATATACGTTGCATCCACGATCCAGCGTAATACACATGCCTAGCTTCAGATTATCTATATCGGTTTTCTCTTTGAGTAAGGTGAAAAAAAAATCAGAGATTTTTCCAAAGTGTTTTTACATTAATCTTATGGTTGGCTAGCAAAACTACGGACCGAGATATTTTAAACCAACCAGAACCACACAGAAAATCGATTATTAAGAGAATCAATTATTGCAGCAAGGCCCTTATGATCCGGAACGCTAGGTAGAAGTATTTGTGGAAAACATTTTAGTCCGACTTTATTTTTCATTATTATTAACGGATTACATATTATCTTGTGGAAATAGATTTTTAAAAGTTTGAAATTACGTACTCGAAAAGACACTTTTCCGTCATTTTGAAACCACTACTGAAATGTTTCTTCGGGGACTTTTTTTATACAATTTATAGGTCTATTTGCGCGATTGTATTTATAGATTGCTTTTCTTTTAATCTTTTTAAGTAGAAAAAATAAAAATAAATAAAATTGTTCAAGATACCCCGATGAAACATTTCAGTCGTAGTCTCAAATTGACGACAATAGTTCCCTCTTTCGAATAATAAAGATTCAGAGAACTCGCAAAGACTCCGTGAATAATTTTCGTAATCAGTGCAAAACGTACTTTTCAACTCTCTAATATCTTTGAAACCACTTGAATTGAAACTTTCTTCAAAGAAAACCAATCAATTCCTTCAGTTATTGATCAGCTAATTCACTCTCCAAGAATGGTGAATTCAGAAGGACTGGAGCTCGACTTGGAAAGTCTAAAATATTCAAAATACTTGAAAATACTTTGAATGGGAAACAGAGCCGAGGATCAATAAATTTATTACATGACGAATCGGAAAAAACTCGACCATCTCCGATTTTCATAAAATTTTGCATGTGTTATGGGCAATCATTCACATTTTTGGATATGGTATTACACATTATGTCATTTTGGATATAGTATTTTTTTTAATGGCATCTATGCCATTTTTTAATAAATTGTAGTACAACAACGGCACTTCTGATCAAAATGACGGTGTGAGACAAAGTTGTAGAGAAAAATAAAGTCTTTCAGGGAAAATGTACATGGTATTATTTTTTTTTGTAATTTTTTAATGTGTTTATTTTTCCAGGCTCATTTACCGTAGCTTTGCGGTGCCGATATTCATTGTTTAGATTACAAAATTACTTAATACTAACGTTAGTAAAGCGAGGCCGATTACTCGCGACTATCTAGAGGTTAGGGGTAACAAATTGAAACAAATGGACGGAAGGGTAGGGATTGAGACCACAAGGTTTGGAGAGCAATGTACTCTTGATCTCGAACTAAGCGACATACTGATGAAAAAGACAGACATGGGGGAACACCG